GTACTTTAGAATCATAGGATTTCCCTAAAAGTCAGCCTCCAAGGAAGTTCATATGACTATGAAAAAGGAAAGGTGGACTGAAGGAAAGAGAAAAAAATCAAGAGAAGGCAGAATTCTTGTTCCATTTGTACTCATACTTTATTATAATTGATAGCATTAATAGGTATCTAAGTTTGAATTAAAGCTATAAGACTATGTAAGTCTGTTTACTATAACAAAATACAACAAATAGGCTAGTTTATAATGAAAAGAGGTCTCATTACCCAAAGGATCCAAGGCATCGTTCCTGCATCAGCTTAGCACTAGTGAAAGCATCAAGGTGAATGGCATCACAAGGACCAGAGCACAGCCAGACACGATACCACAGTGGTTCAGGAGTTCATCTCAGATTTTTCTGACAACTCATCCTCCCAGGAAAACTCTGAGGCTCATGCACGTGGCCTTAATACCTCCTAGTAACCTAAGGACCTGCCTCCTGAAGGTCCCACTGTCCTTCACATGGTCACACCTAGGACTGAGCAGTCACATGCCACACACACCCCCCAAGCCATAGCAATGTCATTGGGTGGTTTCCTGCCACAAGCATTACAGGTTCTGTGTAGAATAAAAGTTCTGTTTAGTGTCAGGAGATCTGCACAGTGTTCTCAAATACAAGTCGTATAAGTTGAGTATCAGTAACAACAAAAATTGAATCTGGTGGGACATAATGGCAGGTGCTTGTAACCTAGGCTATCCAGGATGCTGAGGCAGTTGGGTCACAAGTTTGCAGCCAATCTGGGCGACTTAGTGAAACCATGTCTCAAAAAATAAAAAGGGTTGTGGATGTACCCCAGTGGTAGTACTTGCCTAACATGAATGACACCCTGAGTTCTATCACCAATATCATAAAGAGAAAATGCTACATTTAAAAGTATGCCCAGACTTTACAGTGTTTAAAAAATAGGACCACAGGCCAGGGATGGTGGTCCATGTGTATGATCATAGCTATTCAGGAAGCTGGCGAGGAGGGTGGCAAGTTCTAGGCCAGGCTTGGCAAATTAGACCCTGTCTTAAAATAGAAAAAAGGAAAAGGGTTGGGGTTGTAGCTCAGTGATGGAGAGCCCTTGACTTCTGTTCCAGTACCCCCCCCCGACACACACACACACAACAAATGACCACAAACTTTCATGCACAAAAATAAGTGATCCTTGGGGTTGCAAATTTTCCTCTGATTGACACAAGTCAAGCGCAATCTGAAAAGAGTAGGTGTTTGGCAGAATGAAATGAGGATGCTGGAGAAGTTGGATAATTACAGACATAGAATCCAAATCATCAGACAGATGAAATGAAGCAGGTCACAAGTCAGAGTCCACAGTGCTCTAAGTATTTAATGCAGTTGGTTCATGTTGAAACTTGAGCACATGTTAAGTTATTTATGTGACTGGCGAATTATACCACTGCTTGTTCCCCAGTCCCTTTTACCCCTGGATGTGAGCATGTAAATATGCTTTTCAGAGATAATTCTCTCAAATCTTTTTAAACCTCTAACAACTTTCTAGTATGGTCATGAATATGGTGCCAATAACAAATGTGCATAGTAAGAAAAATGATAGTCGCAGCTTCTTTAGAAACACTGGAACATATGACCGTGGACTCAATTTCTTTATACAATGATCTAGACAGGGGCATCTCCCTTGTCTGAGAAGCAACTAGTTAGGGCTTAGTATGTGGCAGGCACTGTTCTAGGTGCTTTCACAGCAATGTGTTGATGCAGTTGGTGGTATGGAAGCACAGAGACGTATAGTAATTTTCCCAAGGTTCCAGCACTAGTAAGAAGAGAGTTGGTAATTTAACCCAGGCTTCCTGGCGCTGGAGTCTGTTCAGGCCCGACTCCAGCTTACAATCATCCTGCCTCGACCTTAGAGCATTTGGATTACTATGTAACCAGACTGCCTTCAACTTGCAGTCTTCCTGTCTCAGCCTCCCAAGTGCAGGGCTTTCAGGTGTGTGCCCAGCTCACAGCTGATGTGTGTGTTAATGGGCACAGTGCCGCTGGAGCTTAGCTTCCCTGCTTGTCCTTTGTCTTAGTCACTGGCCCTGGGGAGGGAGCCAGGGCCCCGCTAGATTTCACTGCGTCCTGGATGAGTAGTGAGTTCTTCCCCTTCCGTCTCCTTCCACAGAATTACCTTCCTGAGGGCCTGCAAAGCTTAAGACCTCTAGCACAGCCCTGCGATACTTCAGCCTGCCAAGTTTAGTAATTTGCCATTCAGAGGACTCTCCTGTGGGGTCTGCTTCTGTGTTCTACTGGAGTTTTCCAGCTACTTCCAAAAGAGTTTCAGGAGACTTTGTTCCAAAATGTTCCTTGAGTGAATAGAACTTTTTATTTCACAAAATCAAGGGTATGAGTAATATCTCTTGAAGAAAAGCTGAGGGAACAAGACTCTGCAAAGCTGGGGGACCTGCACTGCTTTAAGCCAACATTTCCAGGGTACTTCTCTGGCCCCTGAGCTCTCTCACGGCTGTAGGAATCCAGCTTCTGTAGTTAATCTCTAAGCTTCTCTTCCCTCCTGCCAATGAGGAATAGAACAGTTCCCACCTCATAGACTTGCAGACAACTTTAACACCCGCTCTCTCATTCACTGTAGTATAGGCACTTAGGCACTGATACTTGCCATTAGGAATAGTCACGGTAAAAGTGTCTGCCAGTAAGTTACTGATCGATTTTCTCCATTTTCAAATTTGAAAGCATCTCAGCATTGGCTAAAGAATGAATTTTTGTCCCATTCTCTGATTTATTACTGTAATTACAAATTTCAGGACAGTTTTTCTTGTAGTTTTCTGGATTCTTTTCTCACCAGCTGCCCTTTCTTCATTCTGTCCCTTTTATACTCCGTGCTTCTGTCCTCAAGTCACCCTGCCCCTGTAAACAATACAGATGGCTCTTTGGAAATTCTACTCGTACAAGCGAACAAAAGCCACCAAGCAGAGGTGTTTCTGGACAGGGACAGCAGAACTAGGTTAGGTCTGCGTGTACTCAGAGCGTGTGCTACGTCGGGGATGCCCAGGTGGGTTCTCTTGTAAAATGAATGCTCTGTTGTCCGTCTGGGAAGGCAGCACACTTCTTGTTGAGCTTTCCTACAGTGGAAGATACTCATGTATAGTTTGTGCTAAATATTTAACAATGATCTCATTTAACTAAAATGGAAAGTAGCAAAATCAAGCCTACCATGTTTTGTTCATGTTTCTTTTCCTTTCCCTCCTTTCTTCCTTCCTTCCCTCCCTCCCTCCCTCCCTGACTTTGATTTGGTTCATGGTTTCAGTTCATGGTCGCTGCAAGGCAGGCGCATCATGGCAGAAGCTCACATCTGGGCAGTCAGGGACAGAGCCCTTGATTACACCTCAGCATTTCTTGCTATCAAGTTAGTGTCCTACAAGGAATGGAGTGGATCTTGTTTGTTTCCTATTCATTAATAACAGATGAGAGCTTACTATGTCCCTCCTGGAAATCTTGGCAAATCCAGTGACTCTCAGCTCTGCCCTGTTAGGTCTCAGTGATCCCTAAGTTTGTCTGACATTTTTACCACAAAACTTGAATGATGGTTGGCGTTTTCCGACTTGCCAGAAACTTACACTGACAGAATCTTCATTGTGTACACATGCATGTGCCCCCCATATATTTATTTGTTTATTTAATAGTTAATATTAATAGGACATTAATAGTTATTTTAACTCTCATAAGTTGGCACATGTACAAGTTATTAATATTTATTTGCACTGCTGCCTTTTATACTCGCCAACAAATGGATATTAGCAGAATCCCTGAAATAGCCGTTCATTGTGAGATTAATTGCCTCTTGTTCTTGTTGTTCACAAGTATGCACTAGTAGTTTATAAATGCAGTGCTTTTCAAGACAAGTCATATGTTATAGGCAATAATAGCATTTCTGTGGAAACTGGGTATAGGGCTCAGAAGCCTGGCTGCTGCCAGAGGCTGAGGGATGAGCATTACCCGTTCCTCTCCCAAGGAAACTGATGTCCCCATAAGCCAGGAGGCTGGGATGGAACAGTGTGGGCATCATGTGGTCCTGGTGGCTGCTATCACTGTTCCTTTGATCTTACGATGGCAGTAATCATTGTACTGAATGAATGCCAGGGTTCTGCTTCATGTTCTACAAAAGAGCATTGCTGCTCTCCAGCTGGTCTCCTTCCTGAGGAACTTGGAGAAATGGAAAGAGAAAAGCGAACTCTGCAGGGGGTTTGCTGCGTGGGTGATTTAGGTCTCCTCTTTCTCCATGCCTCCTGCTGCCCGATATACCTTCCTGTGAATACTTTATGCAGAGTTCAGTGCCGTGTGGGGTGAGAAGGGAAGAGACATCAGACAGCATGGCCTTTGCAGTTTCTGGAGAGCTCCTGGTTGTATCTGAGCTGCTCTGCTTGTTAGTGCTGGAACTCAGTTGACCAGATTCCTTCTCTCTTGCACTCATTCCTTGCTCCTGCTCTCAAAGCACAGGCACACATAGATATATAAACTTCGGAGCACTTAAAAGATCCTTAGAGTAAAACTGCCCTCCCTCTAATTTGCACTTCAGCAATATTCTTCTTCCATTCCTAGTGTGTTGTGGAACTGTGATGTGCTAATTTAGAAAATGAAACATTAACAACAAGAAGAAGAAAGGGCTAAATCCTGCAATTCACAAATCTTAGGTTTGAGTCTCTGCATTGCACTTAATCATCTTGGTGGGCAAGTTCAGTGCTTTCCTAAGCTTTCTCAGGAAAATGGAACTGATGATTCCCACCCCATTTCCATCTCTGGACTGGCTTGAAAAATGAAAGGATGTTTCATATGTGAAAATGTTTTGTCCACTATAACAGCGAAAGGTAATTAAACTTGCCATTGTGTTACAGTTGCCCGTGAGTCCTCCAGCTCAGTGACAGTTGCTGGTATGAGTTAGCAGGGCAGGAGCTCTCATGCTGGCCAGGTTGACACCTGTTCCCCCTCTGCTTTCCTCTTCCTCCTGCAGAGTAACCTGATCCACTACCTGGGACTGAGCCATCATCTGATCGCACTCAATTTTATCATCATTTCTTTTGGCAAGAAAAGTGCGTGGTCCTCTGCCCACGTGAAGGTGACCGACACTGACTTCGATGGTGTGGAAGTCCGAGTGTTTGAAGGTTCTCCCAAGCCGGGCGAGCCACTGAGACGCAGTGTCGTTTATATCCATGGAGGAGGCTGGGCCTTGGCAAGCGCAAGTATGTCCTGGTCACTTTCTGATTGTGCGGCGTTTGTGGATGGCCTTGGGGAGGACCTGGGATTGGTTTTGGCTTCCTTGGTAGGTATGGAGAGTGTTTGCTCTGCCTGTCTTGGACTGTCCCACTTAACCCATGCTATCCCAATAGAATCCTATTTTGAGTGGTAAATTAAATGATTATGTGATGAGAAGAGTCTTCGCCTTTTGTTTTGTTTATTAACGCAGGAGACTGTTTTGAAAATATTCTCTCTAGTCTAAATCACAGATGTATTTTGAAGTATTGATAATAATCACTTTTGGAACCCAAACAACATGAAATTTGCTTGTCCAGAAAATGAAAGAATTATCTGTAGTGCTTTTGCCAACTTGTACTTTGAAGATACCTTTCTATTGAAGTAGAGTAGATATTTCTTTACATGTTAACTCATTGGCATTTTATCAGCTTACACAATTTAAGCATTAAAACATAGAAAGTATGTAGCTGTTAAGAGGGAACAAACTTGAAAAGTTCAAGAGTATTATCTTTAGCGTTGGATACCATTCATGAGTAGGAAAGGTTTGAGATGGCAGGATGCCGAGTGAAGCAGTCCCTGGCAAAGTCAGGACATCAGGACCTTTTCTGTGCCTCTGGAGATCATGAAATTACTTTCTCCTCTTCAGCCTAGAGCTTTGGGCACTCCCTAAGTTTAAGACAGTGAAATGTTTGTGATACCACTGTATGATTTTCCTAATGTAGGAAAGTTCAAGAAAGTATAAATTCCTCTCCCAATCTCATTTTATTTAGCTCATTTCTTTCATTCACTAATTTATTCAGATTTTCCAAAGTTGTTCACTGTGTATATAGAGGGTGGCTGTGGGGTTTCCTGAGTGCAGGACTTTTTTAGTGCAAAAAACACAAGCAGTTGTGGGCAAACATGGACTATCAGTCACCCTATTGTGACTAGGGATTGAGACACATAAATGAATAGGACTGGGTCTCTGGCACAATAGAGATTGTCTCTGTAGCATCTGACACTTGCCAGCAGAGCTATAGCATTGGAAGACATGAAATGCAGGTACCAGAGTGGTATGGATTACAATGACCAGCCTGGCTTCTCTACAGAATTTGGATTGATTATTTCTGCCAGAGGAGGTATGCAATTCTTAAAACAGCTGCTTCCAAAGTTACCTTGGAAAGCCTGAAAATAAGGACACATTAGACTGTTGGCACAGTATCTATCTTAATTTTATCAGAAGTACAATCAAAGGATTAAATTCTTACACATTAAAGTTGGTTCTGTAAACCAAGTGTGATGGCACATGCCTGTAATCCCAGAATTTGAGAGACTGAGACAGGAAGTTTGCTTGGAGTTTGAGGCCAACCTTGGGTACATAATGAGCTCAAGGCCAGCCTGAACTACATAGTGAGACCCTATCTCAAAGAAGAGATAGAGGAGAGAAGAGGAGAAGAGAGGAGGAGGGAGGGGAGGGGAGAAGAGGGGAGAGGAGGGGAGAGGAAAGGAGAGGAGGGGAGAGGAGAGGAGAGGAGGAAAGAAAATGAAAAGAGGAAAATTGGTTCTGTACCTACAGACATTTGTGTTCTAGGAAATGTTAAGATGTTGTAAAATTCTAGTTCCTTATATGTTGGCTTAAAAAGAGTAACAATCTTTAAATTAGCAAGTTTCTGCAACACAGCAAATAGGCTATTAGAAACAAAATTTTGTGATTTCAAGAGAAAAATGCTTATTTGTGAGCTTTTTGAAAAATGCACCATTTGAAGAACTATAAAATCAAAATCAATGTTCTGCATTTCATTAGTTAATAACATACTCAAAACTAATATAATAGAAATTTCCTTTTAATTATACTTACTTGCATTTTTATCAGAAATCAGTTAATTTTTGCATCCATATGTATAACTATTAATAAAACATTTGTGCCCATTTGCTATTAATTTGTTTGTATCAGTAGCTGCAGGTCTGAAAATAACCCACACTTAGCAAAGCTTAAGAATGGGTGATTGTAGTGACGCACCCTGGAGTGACTGATCACCCTTGGCCTCTTTCAGAGATCAGGTACTACGACGAGCTGTGTGCTGCGATGGCAGAGGAGCTGAATGCTGTGATTGTCTCCATTGAGTAAGTGATTGCGCCAGTCATAAGAATGTTCTTATTTATTTTTTTTTAATTTTTTTTTAAATTTTATTTAAGGAGAAAAAGAAAAAAAAGCAGAGAAAGGGTACAAGTTATACAGATTTACAGAAAAAAAATAAACAATAGGAAATCACTAGTTAATGGATTATATTTTGTCATCTCAGAAACAATTGTTCAAGTTACAAAATTAAAGCTTATAAAGTGGACATTCCAACAGTGAGACTGCAAACAGTTCTGTTCAATGATCCAACAAAACTCAGTAATATCATTATCTATCTTATACATTTAAATATACATGCAGTTATATCATTTAGAGCACTTTCTTTTCCTCTCTTTTGTACAATGACAATTACATATTTTGGGTTTTGTTGCTCCCACAGTTCTTATTACTTTGGAAGAGAGTAGAACCAAATGTGACATAACAGAACAGAGTCAGTCAAATCAAAAGAGTGGACATAATAGATAATGTAAAAGCATAATACTAGGTGATCAACAATGGTTACCATAATGCCTCCCGCTATCTCTAATAGAATTGCCTATATCATTAGTTATAATAAAATTTGAACAAAACAGTAAAGAACAAAACCAAAACTTTGGAGACATTATAAGTCTTCAAAAGTAGATAATAGTCAACCAGAATGGGCGTCATAATGAATCCCACTATCTTCACAGCTGTTGCCTAAACATTTGAACCTGATACTATCAAGCAAAACAGAATAGAGGAACATCAGTCAAAACAAGATGGTGAGAGCAATACAGGGCTTTAAATCAAGATAATGGAAAATCAAAGTGGGTTACTATAATATATCCTGCTATTTTTTATTTATTTTTCCCTTAATTAAAAGGATAAAAACAGAAAATAATAAAATTGAGATTGAGATAAAAGAGGGCATAACAGCAAATCAGCGCAGATCAAAACATAACCATTTAAGCAAAATAGTGTTTCACCACAAGATTATCCCGACATAAAAGTAGTTACCATATTGTCTCTTTCCTTGAAATCTTTGAGCATAACTTCGTATACTGTAGCATCAAATATATCAAAACAATGTAAAACCATTCAAGAGAATGACAGTATTACAGGGTATTTAGAATCAACTAACAGAAAATAAACAATGGTTTCTGTATAATTTCCTTGTCTATAAAAGGTTTTGCTTATACTATCATATATAATAAAATCCAATAAGATACCACCTGTTTAGACCAATGGAGACAGAAGAACAAAAGCTTGATGAGACTTCAAAACAAGATGATACTAAATCAGTATTACCTCTTAAGACGTCATTTTCTCCAAACTAGCTGTTCCTATCATCCAATCTTCTCTGCCTCATTTCTGTTGAGCTCTTTTTCTGTCATTATTTGTCAGTTTGTCTTCTTCATTTTGTTTTCTGCTCCATTCATTGTGGCCTCTCTGCTGCTACTTCTGGATTCTTCATATTTTTCTTTTTTAGAATATCTTGCAGTATTCTCTGTAGAGTTGAATTGGCGGTTGCATATTCCCCTAGTTCCTCTTTATCCTGGAAGCACCTTGTTTTTCCATCAATTTCCAGGGATAGTTGTGCAGGATATATCAATCTTGGCTGGAGATTATTATCTTTCAAAGCTTAAATTATTTCCCCCCACGCTCTTCGTGATTTGATGGTTTGTGGCGAGAAGTCTGCTGTAATTCTGATGGGTGTTCCCTTGTAAGTGATCTGTTTCTTGTCTCTGACGGCTTTTAGTATTCTGTTCTTGTATTGGATTTCTGGAATTTTAATTATTATATGTCTGGGTGTTGCTCTGTTTGGGTTGTAGGTGGCTGGGGTCCTGTATGCTTCATACAACTGAGTATCTTTACCTTTTGCTAAATTAGGAAAATTCTCCTGGATTATTTCTGTGAGTAGCTTTTGTAGTTCATTTGTTTGTGTCCCTACTTCTTCTTTTATGTTCTTAATTCTTAAGTTATAGACCCTCTTATCATCTTCTAGTCTTTGTATTATTGCTGTTTGTTTCTTTGTTATTTTTAAGAAGTTTTTCATTTCATGCTCCCATATTACAAATCTGCCCTCCAGTTCAGATAATCTGTCCTTAGTTTCTTTCAAGCTGTTATGCCAGTTTTCGATAGACTTCTTAGTTTCCTGGTAGTCTCTTTGAACCTGCTTCACGTATTCTATGCTTTTTCTATTTTCTCCATTAAACAATTCTCCCCTCTTTTTCTGTTCTTCCATTCCACCATTTGTTTTTTCTTGGGTTGTGCTTAGCATTTCTCTAACTATTCTACTTATGTCTAGCTTCAGGTCATTAATAACTTCATTCCTGAACTTGTCTATGAGGCTCTTGAGATAGCGCTTTATGTCTATTGGTGCTGTGTCTGCTGTTGCCTCTTTCTCAGGATTGGGGGCCGAGGACCCTTTCTTATTGCTGCCTCTTCCCATATTCTTTGTTCCTTAAATATGCAAGCATATATAGGAGGCCCAGCTTCTTGCCCTGTCAGCCACAGTCTGATTGAATTGTGCCGGCTAGGTGTTCCCGCCCACCGCAGCACACCAGGAAGTTTCAGACCGGGCAGCCTATGTGGGGCCCGCCCCTCCAGGTCACCTTCAGGAGCTGGGACCTGGGCTGTGCTAGCCTATTGGGTCTCAGCCAGCAGCGTCACGTGGGCTAGGCACTGCGCACCAATCCCGCTTGAGGGGGGATTTGTGACTGAAGTCACTGCAGCACCCTGTTCCCGCATGTCTGCCCAGTCCCAGAATATCCTCTGTTGGAGTCTTCTAGACCGTGGAAGAGACCCAGTTTTCCCTCACTCACCAGAGGTGGATGCACGGCTCCCCGCCCATCCCACTCTCAACTCTGTTCACCGATTCCTGTTCGCAGACCTTCCGCGGCTTCCCGTGGTGCGGGCTCCAGCTTCCATGCTGAGGCTTTATCTGTTCTTGTTATAGCACCAGGATCGCATTCCCAGTTGGTTTCTCTCAGCCCAGTTTGTTCGTGGGTCACCGGGGCATAACTCCTCTTACTTATGATTCCTTACTGAGCACCATTCCTGAATTCTAAGCTGGGTGTTTCAGAGAGCCTCCGTAGCTGCTGCTATCTGTCCGCCATGTTCTCCCGGAAGTAAGAATGTTTTTATTAAGAAGGGAGTCCAGGTAAAGATTCAGTAACTTCACTGTGCAGGTGACAAACTAGAATGTAAAACAGCCGAGTGTGGCGCTCCATTCCTGTCATCCCAGCTACCAGGAGACTGAGGCAGGAGGATCTTACATTCAAGGCCAACCTCGGAAGTTTAACAAGGCTTTGTCTCAAAATAAAAAATAAAACAAGTTAAGGTTACAGTTAAGGAGAAAATCCTGGATTCAATCCTAGTCCTGAAGGAAAAAGAAGTATAAAATAAAATATGTAAGATGTAGACAGATTTGCCCAAGGTTGTACTTAGCATAATCAGCAATTATGTACTTTTTTAAACTATAAAGTAACCAAAAAGTTAAAGAGAATCTCTCCCATAGCCAAGAATTGGAAAAATTACTATCTTGGCAATGGGTTCTTTAACTTGGATTTTATGAATAGTGGTAAGTATTTAAAAAAATCTTTATGTATAATGTAATGGTAATTCTTTTTTATGTTTTGAGTTGTCTTTATCAATGTGTTTTAAGCCTTTTTTTTCTTTTTGGCAACTAGAAGAATGGAAATAAGAATAATAACTCTGCAAGGTTGAGGCCAAAAGATTGTATCCTGGGCAATTTAGCAAAACTCTGTCTCAGAATAAAAAATAAAAGAGAGCTGGGCTTGTAGGTCACTGCGAAATCCCTACGCTCGATCATCAGTACCACAAAAATTATATCTATCTCTATCTCTTATCTTACACTTACACTTATACCAATACCAATACCTGTACCAATACCTATTCCTATTCTATACCTAACCTGTGAGATAAAAGGAGCACCTAGTCTTCTAGATGGGACAGGAAATCGAATCCAGGGCAGATTGCTTCCAAAATTCCTATGGCCTTTGACCCAATATTGGAGGAAGCAGATAGCACTGAGTGATGGGATCCAGCCGCATCATGTCATCTGCTTTCTAGGCTCCCAGCTTGTTCAAGTCTCTACTTCCCTCCGCCCCTCCGCTAGATCTTTCTGCATTCATGGCTCACTGCTCTTGCCTCTGCTCTGGTTCTGTGATCTTAGAGAATCTTTTTCTCTGCAGTCTATTGGCAGTGCTGTTCTTTTGGGTCTTTAGGCCACTCTGATCTTGTGAATAGAAGCCCTGTAGTCCCACTGAGTGGTCCCTTGGATGCTAATAGCTCTCATGCTTTTTGGAACTTTCCGCTGGCCAGAAGAAAGCAGCTGTTTAAGAGGACTTGCCCCATTATGGAGTAAGCACTCCAGCTCAGTGTAGATGGCCAAGCTTCCGGGGGCCGGTCAGTGGTTTCCTGTGTTCCTCTAGCTCTTATTTTATATTCATAAACTTCAGTGCAGATATGATGTTTGTGTCTGTCTCAGGCTTACCATAAAACACAGACAGGTAGATAAGATGTTTGTAAGATTTTTTTAAGGAACTAAAACTTAAGAAGGGTTACTGCTATCATCTAAGCCTCCCACTGTGCCTAATCTCTATAATGTAGCGTTCAGAAGTTTACTGGGAGGTACCATAGTGCAGTGGTCAAGTACCACTGGCAAGTCACTTAAGTTTATGTACAAAATTGGTTTCAGAGTCCTTTCAAATGTGACTACAGGGAACAGTAATAATCTTACTTTAGGGTCCGCAGTACCTAAGACAAGGATTAGCCCCTGCCTGCCAGATGCCTGCTGAGCTGAGATAATAACTTCAGAGCCCTGCCAGGGATCAGTCTAGACAATCGATATAAAAGGGTGTCAGATGTCTTAGAGCACTAGACAGGTACACAGGATTAGTACTGTAGCTTGTAGGGAAAAAAAGGTAATGTACAAACTACTTAGCAATACGTGTTTGGAACTCACATGTGTTCTTGTTTTTGGAATGGGTCCAACCCA